ACCCCCACCCTTCCGTCACCCTCCTATGCTTCCCCTGTCCGCTCCGATACTCACCTTCGGACCTGACAACGCTCCTTTCTGCCACTCCTTCTCTCTTCCCTTTCTCCTCTCTCCTCCCTCTGGTACTCTTCCGCTGACCTCCCACCAAGTTACAACCTTCCACCGCTGTCCCATACTTCGTACTCGGGCACCGCTCGTACTTTTGCTCCGAGCCTCCGTGTCATATCCATCCCCAGCCATCGACTTCCGGTCCCTCCGTTCCCTCCGGTCTAACCCCACTCCTTCTTCACTAACCTCGGAACTCCCGTATTCCGCAATCCTCTTGGTACCCCTCGATGGTCACTACCTATGCCTCCCTAAGTACGGAGCCCCGAAGACTTCCGGACAGCTCCGACGTCCGCTAGTGCACTCCTGCCTCCGCTGGGCAATACACTTGCCTGCCCTGCAGAGCCCACCTTCGGGCCTATCCCTTTTCTCCGTTTCTGGGTTATCGTCTGCCTTTCCGCTAACCCCACAACCCGACTCGTTGGTAATATTCAGTCAGCTAATGTTTAACCCCGTTAGCTCCGCTCCGTTCGGCTCTGCCAATTGCGGACCCATCTTCGCTGTAACCATATATATATCCCACTTGTACATAGGTTACACCCCAGTAATAAAATCAACTAGAGTTACCCCCTTAGGTTCTGATTGCCAGTCAGTAAGTTAGGGCACGGATGTGTCACTAGGCACAGCGCTCTTGGCAGAAGTCGCTGAGGCCAAAGCCCTCTGCTACGGAGACACTCCCTCGTCTCGAATCCAGTCTCTGACATAAAGCACACCTCATACACTTAAAAAAGTGAGAGGTCTCAGTGGGGTTGCTCAGCACACAGTGCTGTAAGTGATATGATGGTGTGTATATTACGGTGTGTGTAAGTGGTTACCTTGGAAGTTACTGCTTACCCACATGACTATATGTACCTTGTAATTACAGTTGGCTCAGGGTTCAGGGCTATTTCCCTGACAACAAGCTAAAGAATGCTTTCACATCATTGCCCATTCTAGTTCACCACAACCATGCCCTACCGATCTTCCTCTTCACCGATGCCTCAGATTATGCCATTTCAGGAATCCCACACCAACAGGACAGTTCTGGGAACTTGCATCCTCTAGCTTATTACTCTAGGAAGCTGGCAGATTTGGAAATCAATTACAGCATCCATGACAAGGAAATGTTGGGAATCATGGAATCATTCAGGGAATTCAGGCTGTGGTTAGCAGGAATGGAGGAGCCAGTTTCTGTTATCATGGACCACAAGAACCTTGAATATTTCATGACTTTACAACGACTTAATCGCCAACAAGCCAGGTGGTCTCTAGAACTCTCAGAGTTTAATTTCAAACTTTCCTATGCCCCCAGGAAGGAAAATCCAGCGGATCCCCCCTCACGTCACCCTGACTTCATCCCAGTTGAGGGAGACCCAGTGAAGGATGTTAATCTTCAGACCTTATTGTCACCATCACACATGGAAAGGTTATGGCTCAAGCCAGAGCCAGTCATTGCCATGCCTACTGTCAACTCTGAATCATTCACCCAGTCTGCACCTGTACCCCCATCCTCTGGACTGATGAAGGACATTCCCATAACCTATGACATGCTAAAGGAGGCCTTGTCCAAAGACGACACCTGGAAGGAAGCTGTAGAGAATGGGCACAAGGATTGGAAATTAGTAGGAGAGGTTCCATTCTTTTGAGAAAAGGCTTATGTGCCACCTAGTCTACAAAGCCTTATTTTATTTGAACAACACGATAGTCTGCTGGCAGGACATTCAGGTTGTGGCAAAACATTGGCTTTGATCCGTCGAGATTATAACTGGCCAGACCTCACCCAAGACATCCGGAAATATGTATGTTCTTGCAACATTTGTCAATGAATGAAACCAAGCCACCATGCCCCCTATGGAGAACTGAGACCATTGAAAATCCTGAAAAGGAACTGGGAGGAGATTTCGATGGATGTCATTACAGACCTACCAACATCACACTCCTTCCACTCGATCCTGGTAGTAGTGGATCAATTAACCAAGCAAGCCCATTTCATCCCTACTCATAAATCTCTGGATGCACCTGGTCTATGTCTCCGAGTTCTGGAAGGCCCTGATGTCGCAGTTACGAGTGCACTTAGATCTATCCACTGTGTATCATCCACAAACCGATGGGCAAACTGAGTGGGTCAACCAGATATTGGAACAGTTTCTGCAGGTTTATTGCACATATCAACAGGACGATTGGGTCGACTTCCTTGGAATCACTGAGTTTCAGTACAACAACTCTGTCATATCCATACAATCCCGGCCTCCGCTCTGGGCTCCCGGAACTCCGAACTCCGACTTCCGGAGCCCTACTTCCCTTCCGTCACCTTCTCCTTGCCAACTCCCAAGAGGTTATCCCACCTCCGGCTCGGACACCACCTTCGGTCCGACTCCGGAACATTCCGGGTCCGACCCCAACCTCGACACCTTCCAGACGAGTACGCAAAACCTATGCTCCCGACTCCGGACCTCCGCTCTGGTATCCCGTTCACGTCTCATCTCCGGAACCTCCGGTCTTAGCTCCGACCTCGGACTTTGACCCCACCTCCGCTTATACCCATTGTATTGGTTAGCTCATTCCATTTAATTACCTTTGCCAATATTCCGGAGTTTAACCTCCGAGTTCGGACTTTCCGGACTTACTCCGGACCTTGCAACTATTGCATTGTCCATTTCAATTCCGCTATTCTCCCTCATTCCTATTTGGGCTGCTGCTTCCTTTCCATTCAGTCAGCTAGCCATTCCCGACTCCCATCCTCCTTCCTTCCTTCTTGGGCCATGGCCCTTCATTCCTCCTTTGGGAAACCCCATTGAGTCAAACTCTTGACCCTCGGTGTTGTTCCTCTTTCCATCTCCCTTTGTCTCCTTTTGTCCTACCCTTGTTCCTTTTGATTCCGGACCCCTCCTTATATACAATGTACCTAGTAACTTGTAACCTCAGTCCGAAATCGACTGGAATTCCCCCCCCAAGAGACTTTCCCTCTGCTAGATCCGAAATTAGGGACCCCTAGGACAACCAGCAATGGCACAGCGCTCCGCCTGAGTCGCTGAGGCCGAGGTCCTTCCATGCTAAGTCTCCGATTCCATTCCGGAGTCGTCCGAATCCCTGCATTCTAACAAACTCCTGCCATGAGTCTATGTGGGTATCCCCTTTCTTTGTGAATTACAGCTTTCATCCAACCTTCGCTTCAGTACCTGTCAGGGCCCAGCACCCAAGCCCTGACCCCACACCACCTCCTCCCCTTCTCTACTAGTTGTTGTTTCACTGCCCTGTACACTTGTGTGAGCACGGAAGTGTGAGAAGACCTCCAGACACTGCCACAGTTCTGGGCGAGCTGCTTGCCCAGAATGTTCCCACAGGCCACAGCCACAATTCTGGGTGAGCAACTCACCCAGAATGTTCCCACACCCTCTGAGTACTGCCACCCGGACCCTCCCCATAGTCACACCACTCAACTGGGGAACTGTACAGTCTTTCCTTTTATGGGTGCCATGCGGGGAGTTGAGAAGGTTACCCTTCTTCTCAACTTAGTGCCTGCATAGAGTGCCCACATACCATAAGAGTACTTCCGGGTCCCAGGCCGGGCCCTGACAGTACCGACTCAAATCCACAACCCTGCAGCAAGCAATTTTATTTCACACATAAATTCTATTTGGGACAAACTTCAAGCAGAGCTGGAATTAGCACAAGAGGTGGCAAAGAAACAGTACAATTGGAAGTGATCCCTGGCTCCCTGCTTCAATTGGTTATGGTGCTGCATTGAAACATTCAGAGCAATTGTCATATCCATGCATACCCGATCCCAACCCGACTTCCGGACCTCCTCCTTCCCCACCTCTGGAGTCTTACCCTACTACTGTCCGTTCTGATACTCACCTTCGGTCCTGGCAACACACCTCCTCTTACCTCCGATGCCACCTCCACTCCTCCTCCCCTATCTCCGTCCGTTCCGATACTCACCTCAGACCAAACACCGCCCCTCTTGCCACCCTCCTACTACTCCTCCGCTCCTCCTTCACAACACCTCCACCCTTTTTGTCACCCTCCTACGCTTCCCCTGTCCGCTCCGATACTCTTCTTCGGACCTGACAACTCTCCTTTCCGCCACTCCTTCTCTCTTCCCTTTCTCCTCTCTCCTCCCTCTGGTACTCTTCCACCAACCTCCTGCCAAGTTACGACCTTCCACCGCTGTCCTGTACTTCGTACTCAGGCACCGCTCGTACCTTTGCTCCGAGCCTCCGTCATAGTCCCTACCTCGGACTTTGACTCCACCTCAGTCTTAGTCCATTGCATTGGTGACCTCATACTACGTAAACACCATTGCCAATATTCCTCGGACTTTCAACCCCGCCTCCGTAACCTCTGTAACCTCCGTAACCTCCGAGCTTTGCGGATCGCCTTCGGCACTTTTGCCGCTTGTAATGTATCTCTCGCGTTTTCCCCTCATCCCTATTTGGACTGCTGCTTCTTCCCATTCTATCCAGTTAGTCATCATCCCCACTTCTCCTCATCCTCCTGCCCCTCTGGGCCTCGCCCTCCCTACCTCCTTTCAGACGTATCACAGGTCCTGCCTTATGACCTTCAGTACCGCTCCGCTTCTGTCTACCCTTTGTTCCCGTTCAGACATCTTCGTTCCGATTCGGATCCCCTTTGTTTCCTTGTGCTTTTGCCCCCTCCATTATATATATCGGCACTTGTGCATACTCGTTTTGGGCTCAGTCCGAAATTGACCTGAAATGCCCCCTAGAGACTTCCTGCTCGCCTACTGTGAAATTAAGGACCAAATGGACAAACAGCAATGGCACAGCGCTCTGCTTGAGTCGCTGAGGCCAAGGTCCCTCCATGCTAAGTCTCCGATTCCACTCTGGAGTCATCCGAATCCACAACACATCTCTAACAGCAATCATCCTTCAGTGAAGTTGGATTATTGAAGGATCGGACCTTTCAGGGTGATCCGTGAGATAGGAAAAAATGCATATTGTGTGGAACTCCCGCCCTCATTCTTGTGCCTGCACCTGGTTTTCAATGTCAACCTTCTTGAGCCTTACATCAGCCCAGCAGTGTTCCAAAACCACCTTGAAATCGATCACCCTGCTGCAGATCCCAGTCTGGTGCTGTTTGGCAACAACCCTTTGAAGATCAAAGGATCCTAGACATCCGCAAAACCGGCCGACAATTTGAGTATTTGGTGGAACAATCAGATAAACCCCCATATGAAACATCCTGGCTATTACTTTCCAACATCCCAGATACATATAACGAGATGCTAGAAACTTTTCACCACTGACATTCAAAACTGCCAAGACCAGCAAAACTTTTTCCGGACACCAAAGCCGTTCATGTATAGCCAGTAGATGTCTTAGCTCCTGCCCCTCCGCTCCCACAGCTGATGCACCGCCCAGATTCTTACACACTGCCAATGCAGACAATGACACACTCTGGGCATCTTTCCTGCCTGATTGACTGTGACAAAATGATAATTGCAGCATTTTGAAAAGAGGGAAGATAATGTTATGGTTAGCGTAACACCGATGGACTTAACAGACTCACATGTCAGACTTGTTCAAAACCAATACACTTTGCATTCAGCCTAGTCCAAACTGTAACTCTCGATGTATATATAGACCATTGATCAGCTAAGGTTACCCTCAGCTGATCAACACAGGTTACTCGCCTCAATTGATCTCAGTGTCTAGCCCTTGTCTCTCTTGTCTTGTTTCCTCATGATCTGGGCCCTTGCTTCCAACCTTGTTGTCATGACCCAACATATCCGTCACTTCCATCAACACATCCTAGTGCCACTTGGCCCATCCCACCTGCTATCATCATCATCCGTCCATCCATCCATCCACCCGTCACCCTCATCCATACTTCCTCCCCCACACGTGTACCTTCCAACCTAGGTTGCCTGCTTCGTTGTTGTCTGCCCACCAGCTGGACAGCTTGCTAGATGGCTGGATGGCCTTTTCTCTTTTGTCTGCTTGTGGACTATTGTTCCTCCTTTTGTTGACCAAGTTTGCTGATATTAACTATTTGTCTCTTTCTTCATTCATTAATATCGCGCTTGATCCACCACTCCTTCCGGGCCAGTCTTATTTAGTTACTTGTGTTTATAATGCATGTAGGTTACACCAGATGTACCTCAGTTCATATATCAACTTGGATTCCCCCTCTAGACTCTTCTCCTCATTGTAAGGCTTCTGTCTGAAATTGGGACACCAACATAAGAACAAAGTGCAGCACTCCACCCAAGTCACTGAAGCTAAAGTCCCACCCCTCCGACCTTACGAGCCCAGACAACTTCGCGTGCCTTGCAGGTCGCCTTAGCCTCATGAGGCCCATAACACATTGTAAGGGATGGGTGGTAGAGCAGTGATGCATGCAAAGCATGCTTTCTTTATTTGTCTTTATTCTTTGTATACAATGTAAAACAACTGTATTTACATGTATGGCTCAGGCTTGGGTAAAGGGTTCTTCACTCTTTACCCTCAACCTGAAGTCAAATCATAAGCTCCATACAGCCTAGATCTTGACTACTGAGGACTGAGTCAACCAAGGCCAGCACCCCAACTGGCCTTACACACATGCTTTGAGGTTGTTCCTCCAACAGATGTAGGGGAGTAGGATAATGCAGGGTTGGGAATCCGGGATATGACAAGAACCCTGTAGACACAGAATCAAAGAGAAGCCAGCAGTAGCCACTAAGCCAAACCATCATCACTAGAAACCTTGAACCAATTCATCTATATGAATAGTTATTCTGGCCTCAGCAATTCCCTCACTCCCCTTCATCCACTATTTTCTCCTTACTGTATGCAACTTTCTTTTCCCTTCCCTTAAATGCCCCACAGTTATGGAGGTGGCCCGGGCACCTGCCCATGCATCTTCACACTTGAATCCTATTCATTTCCTTCAGGTCGCAATGTTGTAATTGGTGGATTCAAAAACAAATATCATCATTTTCATATTTCTGTAAATCCGTCAAACACATGATTTTTTGCAGGATGTACTGGGCATGTGGTTGGAGTCAAATAACTGATGGACACTGCCTGAAGTGGTAATGCCTGCTACTCCCACATTGACACAGTGTCACAGTGTCAGGGCATACACCCTGACCTAGCCCATACCGCATCCACACCCGCACTCGCACCCGCACCCGTGACTGCACCCAGCTGTTGCACTCCCCGCGCGCGCCCTGTGCCGGATGCTCAGTGCGGCCGGATGGCCCGGACCTCGGGTCTCGGGTCTCATGTGACTTCCGGATATCTCCGGAAGTTTTCGATGTATTGTGGCCACTGTGGGAAGATGAGAAGTTAACTTCCTTCTCATCTCTGACCCACAGTAGGCAAGTTGTATATACTTGCCTCTCTTTTATATATCATCTCTGACCCACAGTAGGTTGTGCCCTGGACAGGGCTGGTTACACCTGGGACTGTGGACCATAGGGGAGGGTCATGGGGACCCGGGAGTCGTCCCCTGACACACAGCCCACTTAGAAGTCACTCTGGAGCTGTCTTTGCACACCATGGTACTAGGTGGTACTACATATGTAAAATATCGTTAAGTTTTAAATTGGGACCCCAAGGCTACACACCCCCGGTCTGCATATACAAGCCCACTGACATTATGAACCTGAATTGAACGCCACAGCAGTATAACACTCCAAGACTGGTGAAGGAGTTTATTTGGTTTCAGTGAGGCAGTGTTACTAAATACAAGCAAAATGTCACGACAGTGTTCCAGAGAGGGAGGTGATTGGTTTGTCAACAGCAAGGAGAGCTGTTAGATGAATGTGCAGAGTTGTCCAGAAGTGGAGAAGGGACTCAGGAGTGGAGGGACCTTGGCCTCAGCAACTCAAGTGGAGTGCTGTGCCACTGCTTGTTGTCCAAGGTGGTCCTTAACTTCAGGTTAGCAGGGGGAGTCTCTTTGGGGGACAATCCAGTCATCATTGTTGTCGATTTCAGACTGGGGGTACAGGAAACTAAGTACAGAGTATATATATAACAATACAGGAGTGGAGTCAGAGAACAAAGGGGGACTGGAAGAGGGAACAACCCAAGGGTCAAGGGTTGGGACTCTATGGTGCTTCCCAAAAGGGCAAGGCCAAGAGGGGAAGGAGTGGAGTGGGTTGTGGGGAATGACAGCTGACTAATATGGAAAGGAAGCAGCTGTCTAAATAAGGAAGAGGCAACAAGAGAATTAAATGACACCATACAGTAGAGACTGCAGGGTCTGGAGTCAGAAGTCTAAGTCCGGAATATTGGCAAGATGTAATAAATGAAATGTAATAAGGAATACAAGGAGATAAGATGGAGGAGGTCAGAGTCTGGAGGTGGAGATGTGACCGGAGTTCTGGAGGTGGAGGTGCAATGGGGTTCCAGTACAGGAGTCCGGAGCCAGAGGTATGGAGCATCGCAAACTCTGGTCTGGAAGGTATGAGGTTGGGATTTGTCAGGGATGGCTCAAAGAAGGCAGGGGTAGTGGCGTAGCGCTCGGCACTAGCGGCCTGGATGGTGGCGGGGCGGTGAGACCGTATAGTGGGCAGCCCTCACTCAGGCTTATGTCCCTGTATGGCTTCTTAGGCTGAAGCGGGAAATGTATTGTTATTAGGGTGGGAAGCTAGACTAAACTAGGGTACTTGCCTGAAGCAGGAAATGAGAAGAAGGTTACTTCTTTGGTCCTGCTTCGGCTTAGTTTATATAGATGTGTGAATGGGTCACGTGGGGGTGCCACGTCACCCTCGGACGAAGCCAGGTTACCGCGGGTGGCTCCGCAGTCGATCCCGAGTGTTGGAGGGGAAATACAAGTAGGAGTGCGCAACGCGTCCGGCGTTGCGGTGCCCCTATGGGGTGCTCAGCATCGGGCGCATCCGTGCTACAAGTGTAGGAAAGAAAGAGAGGTCGTCTGTATAAAGATAGAAAAAGAGAAGAAGGAAAGAAGAGAGAATGAGAGGATGAGACAAAAGGAAAGGAGGTGGCGGTGGCGGCAGCGTGCCCTGACAGGATTGGACCTGGAGTAAACCGGAGTTGGACTGGAGGTAGTGTTGGACAATGTGTTGGAGCCAGAGGTAGAGTGGGCTCTCAACAACCAACAGGGGGAGGAGGAGGTAGAGGATGTGGAGTTCTGGAGGAGGAGATGGAGGTCCAGAACCAGAGCGGAGGTCTGGAGTTGTATGGATATGACAAGAGCAATGTGTAAAAGTGCATGCGAAACCTGAGAGTAGGCAGGTAATAAAATATCTAAAAGAGCAACTCAGTCTCTACAGTGAGAACTGAGATAGATTATTCTGACCTGAAAGAGCGACTAATTACAAAGTAAGATAAGAGCTAAATATGAAGTTGAATGATGACAAACCTCAGTCTCTACAGTGAGAACTGAGGAAAAAAGAAAAGAATTCAAAAAATAAACGTGACTATACTATAATCGGAAGTCACATGCAAATCACGCAACAATAGAGATCAGTTAATGCATGGTGTTTCTCCAACCTGAGAGGACAGGAAGGTAGTCAAAAAGAAGATGGAAAAACAAATCACAAGAGGGATATTGAGAGCGGTGCACAACACATGCACCTTGAGTAACAATTGCCAGTCAGGGCATGGCATAGGAGCAAATTCCGTTGATCATTGATTGACAATGAAAAATCATATAGGCCATGAGTGATCGCTTCTTTGGTTAGATGATAATCGCAATCAGCTTCAGTGGTAAGGAGTTTAAATGGCCAGGGGCCATTTAAAAAAGCTCGGTGTGGAGAGGATGCCATAGTGTGGAGCAAGAGTTTGGGTGTAGGGCCAAGTTGTGAGTCTGTGAGGAACCACAACACGTGCTGAGGGACAACTTGGGTTAGCTCGGTAAGCAAGTTGAGGTAATCTGGAGTGTCAGAACAATGAGGTAAAAAGGGGAATAACCAATAACGGTGCTCAGGTATTCAGTTCATCAGGAAATTGTCGCGGTCAACTTTGGACACTTCTGATGATCCTGTTGCTTCTAATACAATGAAACTGGCCGAATTGACCAATTTCCCAAAGCATTTTAGTAAAGGTGTCACGTTTCAATTCAGTTCAGAATTGAACTCAATTGTTTTCAAACCATTTGAAGTGAAACCCTGAGGACCTTTTGCTGATGTTTGTGCACGCAAGACCCGCTACAGAGTAGCGGGAATTTCAAAACTAACTACATATATATGCATGGTCCCATCGAATGAGCACTAATACTTAGCGCTTGATGGTGTGGTGTGAGAGCCGACGATGCCAGACGATCTAGGTTCGCCACGCAATATCGGCTACACTGATCGCAGCTGCATTCCTAATGGAAGGTCTCTCGTTTGTGGGGAAGATTATTTTTCACTTTGCAAACATCAAATTGGTTGGATCGCGCGTGGCTTATATAACTGATCGGGTCTTTCTCATTAGTCCTCCAAGCATATTCGTTCAAGACTAAGGTTAGTACTCTATGGTCAGCACGTTAACGTTCATAACTCCTCACGCCGCTAGTGAAAGTCAAAATGCGATTCTGGAGTGCCTTTGCTTCAATCGCGATACTTCCCATTGTCGCGGCTGATTTCTTGACTGCCGGGGTCAGTTGCGACGTTCATAAGATGTATCCGGAACAGAGTTGGGCTTTGTACCCTTCGACGATAAGTGGGTGAACTAAACCTAAAAAATGAAATTTGCTTCTGCTCTTAACCTATATTTGCCCAATAGAGGCTTGCGAAGATATATTGGACCACTGGACTATGAATGTTACTCTGGATAAACGCAGGGGACTGATAAACGGCTCGTTGTGCGGCACTGATATTTCAGTGGATACGCTCCGGAACAAGTACTATATCCCCTTGACGAGGCTCACTGCAACGTGTATCCAAGGTACTGGAGGCACGACATGCAACCGTTCGTCGGACGGCGCATCGTGCTCATATGCGAATGGGCTGCTTTGCAACGCTTGGCCCATGTGTGATTAGTACCTCGATCTGGTGGAGCAGGCAGCGTACGACCTATGTAGAATATTTTAACGAAGCTGGAATCCTGTCAAGTAGAAATTACAGTGTGCGTGAATGCATCTACATCTAGAAGCCGCGCCAACAGATAAAGGTAATCTAGACAATAAACCCGCCGACTACTGAAGACAATCATCTTCATGGCTGCGGAGGGAGGGAGGGGGTTCTTTGTTCGACTAAATAGATAAAATTCGATATCGTAAATGTGTACATGACGGACCCGGGAGCGAAGAGCCCGTTCCCAAGGCCTCTTCTGTGGATAGATCAGTAATACGCTCCCCCCGTTCCCACTTTGGATGCGTCGGAGGCGAGAGGCGAAAGCTGCCCAACTAGATAGACGCGCAACAAGGATATGGCTTAGAATATTCATAACACCGTGTCTGGCGTAGCTTATCTATCAAGCTTTCACAGCCTTAGTTACTCACATCAAGAGTACGTACGTCCCCTCAGCTAGGTCAAACTGAACTACGAGTGTCATTTACGACTGAAGCGGGAGCCTGGATTTAGAGGCTCCAATGCCGCGCTTATGCAGAGTAATGGGAATCTTTAGTTTGCTTGGCCCCCCCAACGGAGCCAGTTGGTGTCTCAGACCGTGTAAAAGATTTGTCCGTCTTGGCTCGGACCCTACAGGTGTCTAGAATGGATCAACTGCCTTTCGCAGCCAGTAACGTGTTATATAGATGTTGAATAAAAAATGAAGTCCATTTCCTAGGTTATGGAGTCGTATCGAAAACCCGAACGCCCAAAATCAAAATCTGAGAGCGATCAAGAGTTCGATATGTATTGGTGCTCGGGTAGGTGAAACGAGCCGTCGGTTAGGAGTGATGGAGAAATGCTCCCTGAAAAGGGGGTGGGGGCCGGGAAGTCTCGCTCGCGGACTTGGTCAAACCGAGACCGGGGATAGATAGACACCGGATCGCACGCGAAAGATTTGTCTGTGAAAGCCACGTAATGAACGAAAAAGGCAAAGTGGCACGTTTTACGTAATATCGGGACGGTAGGAGTAACATAAGGGGGTTTCATGGGCAACCTTCGGTGGCTGACCTCTGAATTGTTCAACAACGTGTGATATTACAATATCATTAATTAGACCAAACAGAGAAGAACTCGCACGCCAGCAATCCAGATCAACACCAACAAGCGGGGATGAGGACTAAAGGATCTTTGGATATGACCCCAAATACTACCGATCAGTTGTATGAAAGCAATATGCCATATGTGAAACTCTGGAAGGCCAGGGAAGATAATCCCGCGATGGCGAATCGAACACGATATCAAGGATTTGTTACTGGATACCGTGCGATCGCGCTCTTCGGCGATGGACGTATTACTATTGTAAACGGCGTTTCAAATATAGTCCCCCCCATGTTGAAGGTTTCTTGCTTGATCCTTGTAGTACGCTGTGGACTACCCATTGAGTTGAATGGACTATATTTCTTGCGCACGGACATTTCCTTGAAGGATTGCCCGGTGCTTCTACTTTTGGTGCAGATGTTGATGTACGCAGTCGAGGACGGTTTAAAAGCCACCTGATCGCGCCATTTTTTCTTTCCTCTCTCCTCAGTTCACGTCTTTGGAACTGAGGTGAGATTTCTTTTCGTCTTTTGGAACGAACCAGTCAGACGTTCTAACGTTGTATATGTTCTCCTAGCGCTTAAGTATACGCCGCTAGGTCATAATCCCAATGCCCCAGCGGTTCACTCGTAGAACATCTTGAGTCAATGCCCGCATATATTTGTGCGTAACGGAATAAATCAAGCTGCGTAATTTAGGTGCGGCGTGACGGAACGCTTAGTAATTGTAACGCCCCCCCCACATGCATGCCGGAAAAGGCGAAAGCGTGAGCCTAAGCTTTGTGTTCCTCAGCTTCGCCATACTAGGCTGGTGGCTAGCCTGCCATCAGCACCAGTGGCGTCAGACTAGCTACTCCAACAGGGCACCCCTTCCGGCCCCTCGCTCTCAGCTCAAACCTTTTATTCTAAGATGTACAGGACCCTAACCGCCAACACATTCTGGTCTCTGGCCGACGCATGCACTCGGAGTCAAATTCCAAAATCAATAACATGTGGCATGCCGATCACATACGTCTGAATGTTTAGCACTTGATGGTGTGACCTGGGTTGGCGCGTGTGTAGTTGGAGCCATTGATAGGTGAGTAGTTTCTCGTGTTTTGTGGAGAAGATTAATTTCTGGCTGGATCATGGCCTACATATAACTCTGTGGGTTCCCCTTCCTTTCTCTTTAGTCCTCCAAGCACCTACGCTCGAGACTAAAGTAAGTACTCCTTGATTCACACACACATCACATACACAGTGGCTTCTCACATCATGTGCAACTACCTGCCAGTTTTCTGAAAGTCAACAATGCGATTCTGGAGTGCCTTTGCCTCAATCGCAATACTTCCCATCGTCGCGGCTGATTTCTACACTGCTTTGGTCAAGTGCAACACTAGTCACGGGCTGGAAGTCGATTGGGCCATCGTCCCTGGGAATGTCGTCCCTGGGTCTCTAGGTAGGTAGAACCAAAACCTAAAACGGAATGTGCTCCTGCTCTTAACCTATTGTTTACCCAACAGGCGCTTGCCAAGATACAGTGCAGCACTGGATCGTTGGCATTACTCACTCCGGGAGTTTGACAAACGGCTCGGTTTGTAACACGGATATCTCAGTAGATGGGACCAGGAACCACTGGTATGCAGCTGGACTCAGCGGAGAATGCACAAAAGGTGATGGAGGCACGAAATGCAGTCGTGTGTCGGATGGTGCGGAATGCCAATATTCGGTCGTATCGAATTGCACCGGTCCTCCACCCTTCTGCGATTAGTACAAGGATCTGGTGGAGCAGGCAGCGGGCCCATGTAGAAGTAGAATACTTAACGAGGGCTGGAGCCCCTGCCAAGTGGAAATTACTGTGTGCGTGAATGCATCTGCATCCAGAAGCCGCGTCAACAGAAAGGGTTGCGATAAAGGCAACGGAGACGATGAATCCTGAGGACAATCATTTTCATGGCTGGGGAGGGGGGTTCTTGTTCGTACAAACAACTTCGATATCGAATATGAGGAGAGTCAAAAATTTCCGGAGGACCCGGGAGCGAAGAGCCCATTACCCGTGCATCCCCCTTTCTACGCATAGATCGGCATGCATAGCCCATCCATTGAGCTTTTCACTATTTTAGTAGCTCACATCAAGAGCACGTCCCTTGAGTTGGGTCAAAGGCAGAAGCACTAAGAACTAGCAGTGGATTATTGCGCCAGGCAGTATGGAGAAGGGTTAAGCAGTGTACCCACAGTGGTTGATTCCGAGTTAAACTACGAGTGTCATGTACGACTGAAGCAGGAGTCTGGATTTAGATTGGTGGAAACAGAGCAAAGTACTCAACAGTGCGGAAGAAACTACATGGGATTTAAGACGCCTATATACGATTATGATCGAGGGGCCGTATATATAAGTGACGACGAGAAAACAGAGAGTAGTGTGTAAATATCAAAAGCTCGCATGTGGGTGGGCTAGTTGAAGTGGTTGGCTAGCTGCGCGGAAAAATGGGAATCTTTAGTTTGCATGACCCCCAACTGAGCCAGTTGGTGTCTCAGAGCGTGGAGAATATTTGTCGGTCTCAGCTCAGACCCTACAATTGTCCAGAATGAATATGAAGTTGCAGCGAACACCCGAGCACCCAAAATATGAGAGCGATCAAGAGTTGACCGTGCAGCAGCACACAGCCCTTAATGATCCTTGGGCCCGAGTTTCGGGGAATGGCACGGTGGTCGCTGGGCGGCAGGAAAGGTTCGGACCCAACTATTATCCAAGGACAGAACCGCGTGCTGTTAGTCCATTCCTGGAGGGGTCTTGGGCGTGGTGGGCGGAAAAGGGAGATGGCCATGAGCTAGGAAAGGCGCCACCGCCGTTTGTAGAAACGGCGCTTACGCATGGGCTTAATGTGGAGATCGGTTTGAAAAAACTGAACCGCCCTTCTTGGGGTATAAAGGAACGCAATGACATTACGGAACACGAAGCCACAATCTCCCATCTATAATATGATAGCGGAGGCCCGAAATTTGCATATCAGGACAGGCCTTCAGATTCGGTCACGTCTCCCTCTGGCCCCAGCACGGTGGTTTAGGATTGGAGTGAGGTCACAAAGAGGCGAACTGACAGTTCCAACGTCAAGAGTTCGATCACGCGCGGGAATTGGGAGTGACGGAGAGATGCTCTCCGAAAGGGAGGCTGGCAAGTCCCGCGGTCAACCCCGAGACCGGGAACGAAAGGGCGTGAGCTAGAAGCAAGCTTAAGATGAAGACGTCATCTCGGTTAGGGGTGCTGTGGTTCTCAGAGAACCGGTTCGAACCGGGACCGAACCGAGAACTGAACCGTGCTGGAACCGAACCGTGGTTCGGTTTTGGTTCTCTAAGTTAGGGGGAAAATGTGAACCGGTTCTGAACCGAGCCGAACCATAGAACCGTAGGAATGTTGTCATGCTCCAAACCTTACTAGTATCTTATGTCACACAAATGAAAAATGTGCAACATCATTCGAAGGCTCTGACAATTTTAAATTATTCTGCCACTCATATTCGGGGATGGCCGAAAAATCACAAATGGAAATTGTTTTCAGCTCTTACACCTTTGCATCTATTTTAAACATCCTTGAGATGGATACTCACTCTGACAATGGAAGTGAGTGGTACACAGACCCTGAAAACCCAATGCTGGGTCCAGATGGTAAACTATGTGATGCTGCTGAGAAATCGGATCAATTTGTCTACAGTCCTTTGGATGCTTTGTGTTAGACACTGGTCCGGGGTCGGCACTGAGGGTCGCCATTGCGGGCCGCTATAGGCTGCGATGGCCATGATGCCATGAACAAGGCCCAAGGGTAGGGCATTTGGCCTCAGTGACTCTAAAGGAGTGCTGTGCCCCCTAGCTGTCTCTTGGCCCTCATTTCAGACTCACTGGGGTTGCCTTGCTGGGGTCAGGACTTGGGAGTTGTGGTCAAATCGATATTAGAGTTAAAGTACTATAATGTATCATACAGGATATATATAGGAAGAGGAAATGAATAGAAGGGGACCTGGGCTGAAGGCCGAAGGGTCTGGAAGCAAAAGGGAACAAAGAGCGGGGTTGGTGTCAGAGACCAGATTTAAGACGAAAGAATGTCTCCGTAACGGAGGGCTTTGGCCTCAGCGACTTCTGCCAGGAGCACTGTGCCTAGTGACACGTCCGTGCCCTAACTTACTGACTGGCGCTTAGAACCTAGTGGGGGTAACTCTAGTTGATTTATCTGCTGGGGCGTAACCTATGTACAAGTAGTGTATATATATGGTTACAGCGGAGACGGTTCCGCAATTGGCGGAGCCGGACGGAGCGGAGCTAACGGGGTTAAGACATTAGCCGACTGAATATTACCGACGAGTCGGTTTGCGGGGTTAGCGGAAAGGCAGGCGTTAACCCAGAAACGGAAAGGAGGGATAAGCCCGAAGGTGGACTCTGCAGGGCAGGCGAGTGTATTGCCCAGCGGAGGCGGGAGTGCGCTAGCGGACGTCGGAGCTGTCCGGAAGTCTTCGGGGCTCCGTACTTAGGGAGGCGTAGGTAATAAATTGAAATGAGGGGGTGGTGACCATCGAGGGGTACCGGGAGGTTTGCGGAATACGGGGGCTCCGAGGTTGGTGAGGGGGAAGCGGAGTTAGAATGGAAGGGTCGGAGAGCCCGGAAGTCGATGGCCGGGAATGGATATGACAGTTGGCTGCACAGTGGTCAGCAATGACCGAGGGTCAAAACAAACAATAACAGATAAATAAACAAAGGGGTTTAGGGCTGCGATAGCGGCAATGGCAATGGTATCGGCACTGGACTCGGAGTTGGGCCAGAGTCGGGCATGGGAATGGTAGTGGCCCTGTAGGGGCCAAGTGGGCAGGGTAGAGGAGTCGTGCTGGGCATGGTGCTGGAGGTGGACTCAGGGCAGGGAGGTTGGTGTGGCATGGGGGGAGTCGGTCTAGCATTGGGGAACCATGGGCAAGCAGGGAGTGAGCAGGGAGTCCTCAAGGAGAATAGGGATAAGGGTCGGGGCTTGTGCAGTGGGAATGGGCTTGGGTGGCATTGGGATGGGCTGGGAACAGGCCGGAATGCACAGCCGTGACACTTTGCCACACCCTCCCTCTACTATAATCCAGATGATGGCCTACCTACTGCTCATCAAATAGTGCAAAGGCCAAAGTGGACCATAAAGCAAATTACTCAAGAAAATCCAGTTGAAGCATTTGAGCACCAAAAACTTGCTTCCAAGAATAAAAATAGGCCTAACACTTCACGGAATAGAGATGTTGGTACTACTCAACAGACCCTGGAAGCATTCTCAGTTGGACGTCAACCAAATGTCAGGGCACACCTTCAGGTCGCTAGCATAAGTAGCGCATTGCCACATGACCTGTATCTCCATCAGCTTCTACTTCTTTTCTTCTTCTTCATCTCCGATCTGATCCGATCTGCAGCTGTCGGTTATGATGCCGCATGATCTTCTATCATTCTTGATCCGATACTACCGGTCATTAGCTAGTTGACTAGTTGCTGCCTCTATCGTGTATATATGACTGTGTGCTGGGATGGGCATGTCCCCCAGCTTTGATATCAATTAGGTTTCTGGGGCATCCTTCATTGCGAGCATGCACAACCCTGACACCAAACAATCTTGGGCTACTGGGGAACTTGAGACAGCCCACAAAGACAGTGGAGCTCGGCTATGTCACAACATCCAGGGAATCTGTCAGGGAAATAGCCCTGAACCCTGAGCCATATGTAATTATGAGGTACATATAGTCACGTGAGTAAGCAGTAACTTCTGGGTTAACCGCTTACACACACCGTAATATACACACCATCATATCACTTCAGCTCTGTGTGCTGAGCAACCCCACTGTCATATCCGTGCATACCCGACCCCGACTCGACTTCCGGACCTCCACCCTCTTCACCTCCGGAGTCATAACCTACCGCTGCCGTTCCGATACTCACCTTCGGTCCTGGCAACACACCTCCTCCTTACCTCTCCGACCCTATCTCCGTCCGCTCCGATACTCACCTTCGGACCTGACTACTCTCCTTTCCACCACTCCTTCTCCCGTACCTTTCCCCTCTCTCCTCCCTCTGTTACTCCTCTGCCACCCTTCCACCTAGTTACGACCTTCCACCGCTGTTCCGTACTTCACACTCGGACACCGCTTGTACCTTACTCCGAGCCTCCGTCATAGTCCCTACCTCGGACTTTGACTCCACCTCGGTCTTAGTCCATTGCATTGGTGACCTCATACTACGTAAACACCATTGCCAATATTCCTCGGACTTTCAACCCCGCCTCCGTAACCTCTGTAAGCTCCGCAACCCCCGAGCTTCGCGGATCGCCTTCAGCACTCTCGCCGCTTGTAATGTATTTCTCACGTTTTCCCCTCATCCCTATTTGGACTACTGCTTCTTCCTATTCTAGCCAGTTAGTCATCATCCCCACTTCCCCTCATCCTCCTGCCCCTCTGGGCCTCGCCCTTCCTACCTCCTTTCGGATGTATCACAGGTCCTGCCTTATGACCTTCGGTACCGCTCTGCTCCTTCTACCCTTTGTTCCCGTTCGGACGTCTTCATTCCGATTTGGTTCCCCTTTGTTCTCCTTGTGCTTTTGCCCCTTCCATTATATATATCAGCGCTTGTACATACTCGTTTTGGTTTAGTCCGAAATCGACCTGAAATGCCCCCTAGAGACTTCCTGCTCACCTACTGCAAAATTAAGGACCAAATGGACAAACAGCAATGGCACAGCGCTCCGCTTGAGTCGCTGAGGCCAAGGTCCCTCCATGCTAAGTCTCCGATTCCACTCTGGAGTCGTCTGTTTCCGCCCGGGTTCTAACACCCACTGAGACCTCACATGTTTTTAAGTAACACAACCCACCAAAACTATCAAATTGCAATAACTTGACTTGGTAGTGCTCATGGTGCCTAAACATGCCTGCAAGGGCAAGGTCGCATCTGCAGCAACAATAAAGGAAAACAAGCAGTTTATAAAGAAACCGCAATCT